AAAAGAAGACTAGTACGGTTGTGTTTCCGTGCTTTGATCGTGGCAATGGTCCCACAAAGTCTGCACATACTATGGCCCAAGGTTCTTTTGCGATCTGGGTCAGCATCTTTCCCGCAGCTTTTTGTTGGCTGGGCTTGTAAATTTGGCAGGTAGCACACTGTCGGACATACCTCTTTATGTCCCTGAATTTTCCGGGCCAGTAGTAACGTGCCGTCGCTCTCGTTAGCATTTTCCGGATGCCAACGTGTCCTGCGCTTGTATTATCGTGAATTTCCCTCAGTACTCTCTCTTATAGTGGCGCTGCCACGCATAGCTTTCACGGTATTGTGTCTTCATAATCCATCTGGACTGCGATGTGTCGATACAGTTCGTCGTTTACAACTGTGTAGTCCGGGAACTTTTCTGGTGTCTTCTTCACATCTGCCATATTCTCAGTCAGCCACTTGCAGGCCGTTTCCTCTTTATCCTGCACTAGTAGGTTGAGCTGCAACATTTAACTTACCCTTGCGGTACTTTACATCGAATGTATGCTGCTGTAGTTCTAGTGCCTACCTTCCAATGCGTCCTGAGGGACTCTTGATCGTGTTCAGCCATTTCAAGGACAGGTGGTCGGTGATAATCGTGAAATACGTATGGTCCGTAGACACTCCTTTTAAGTCGCCGAGTAGTTTTGCTCTGCCTTGTTCAGCCGTCGACTCGCTATGCTATGGTTCGCTCTGCGACATCAGTACTGCACCTAGTCCAAAGTCGCTGGCATCGGTTTGTAGCACGAAGTGCTGGGAAAATCTGGACAGGCTAATACCGGCGCTTCCGTTAGTGCGCTCCTTAATTTTCGAAGGCCGCCTGCTGCTCATTGCAACATTTTCATAGGCTTCGTTTCCTCAATAATGACGTCAGAGGGTGTGCAATATTCGAAAAATCCGGAACAAATCGCCGATACCTTGACGCTGCGCCTAGAAAGCGCCGTAGCTTGCGTGTGTTTGTTGGCGGTGCCAATTCTTAAATCGCCGCAATCTTGTCAGGATCGGGATGAATCCCTTCTTCGCTCACCACAAACTTCAAACTCTTTTTGAAAAACTCACACTTCTCTGGGTTGATCTTGATGCTCGCCTGCCGCATTCGTCGAAACACTTCTGTCAGGTGTTCCATGTGTTGGTTTAGCATCGCGCTCGTGATGATAATCCAGATAAGCAAACGCGTGAGGTCCCAGTTCTGGCCCGATGACTTTGTCCAGTGCTCGTTGAAACGTCGCCGGCGATAAGTGTACCCTGAACGGCATTACGCTCCACTGGAACAGGACACGTCCTGTCACGGTGAACGCTGTACGCTACCCCTTCCGTATAGATTTTCCAGTATCCATTCAAAAGATGTTGTATTCATGGGAGTGGGTGCGCATCCGGCACCGAGCGTGCGTTAATTGCCGATAGTCCACGCAAAGTCTCCACTTTCCGTTTTTCTTCTTTACGAGCACGATTGGCGCGCTATGTGGGCTATGCGAGGGCTCGATGCACTGCTTCTCTATTAATTCGTCGACCTCCCTGTTTATTACCTCCAGCATTTTCGGGTTTTAAGAAAGTAACGCTATTTTATTGGTCGATCATCCGCATTATAATCTTATGGGCGATGTTAGTCGTCGCGGTTATCTTCTCGAATGCGAGCACCTCTTTTTTTAAGAATTTTTCCACTTCCGCCTTGATGGATGTGGGTTGTTCGTTTGCGGCCTTTTCGCCTTCCTCAGATCTCTCTACTTCGCGCACTTCTAACATCATGGTACACGCAACCTTCGCTCGAATATCAGCCTCTGCCTCCATCACCAATGTCTTCCCTCCGCAGCTCACTGTTGTGTTGGCCTTTGCGAGGTAGTCTGTCCCAAGGACCATGTCATCGAGTAAACATGGTAGGTCGAGTATCTCGCTCCTATGCTATTTATCGCCAACCTTTACTACCGCATCTATCGCTTCTGTGACCGCTATTGGTCTGCCATCTCCCATCACCACTGTTTTGACCACTCGTCGCGACCGCTCGATTCCCAAGGTTTTCGCTGCTTGAATTCTTACTAAACTTCTTGTTGCTCACATATCAACCGCTGCTTTGCAATCAACTGTTGCTCTAGCGATTACTCGCCCTTCCGTTTGATTAAGAATAGGCGTTACATTGACTGATGTTGCGTTACTGGAGACCCCACTCTTCGTCGCGAATGGGGTCCTTGGCCGTTTCCCTTTTGTCCGCGGCAACAGTG